GGGGTCCTGGGATCGAGCCCCATGTCGGGCTCCCAGTTCCGCGGGAAGCCTGCTTCTCCCTCTCCCTCTGCCTGCTTGTGCTCTCTCTCTCTGTGTCAAATAAATAAAATCTTTAAAAAAAAAAAAAAGAAAATGAACTCTGTCCCCTCTTCCGTCTTTTTGCTGACCTTATGGCCTCCTCTGTCCACTATATAACTTCTATAAATCAACAAATATGTATTAAATTCTATTTGCGAGGCACTAGTTCTAAGTGCTTGAGGAATTCAAAAGAAGTGTCCTACCCCTAGAGAACTCACAATGTAATTGGGGACATAGAATATATATCCTTAAGACTATAAAAATACACAGTGGTAAACGATTTGTGCCAAGTATAATAATCCAGCACCACATGTCCATGACATTCTTGTACTTAGTATTTATGGTTTTTACCTATTCCCATGTGACCCCCAAACCCCATGACTTTCAGTTATTGGCAATGTTCTAAGGCACAAAATTCAATCCGCCCACTGAGAGGCTGCTAATTGGAAAGGATAGGTAGGAACCTGGGGAAGAAGGAGGGACGAGAAAGGACATTCTAGGAAGGAAGGACAGTATGAGCACAGGCATGTCAAGGACTGCATATGGGACTGAAGGGCTGGAACAGAGGATCTGAAGCTGAGTTTGGAATGACAGCCAAGAACCTGCTGTTTTGGACCCTTGCAGTGGGTTGATATTGAAAGACCATAAAATCAGTGTTCTAAGAAAATTAATGTGGCACCAGCAAGTAGAGGGACCATAATAAGGGCAGATTAGGAAAAGCAGAAAAGCAAAAGGGACCCGGTGACAGCAGTAGTTCAAGTATAAGGCGACAAAGGCCTGCTACAGGATGATGGCCATGAGAGGCTGGCTGCCTGGCTGGCCAGAAAGTTACCTCCTTGAGGTAGGAACCATGGGCCGTCATCTTGTAGAGCACCACACAGGGTGGAATACTGCACGTAGAGGCTCCACGTGCATTTGTGGTTTGACAGCAAAGAAGAAACCCAAAGAAGATGGTGACTGTTCCAGTGTGAGGGCAGTCCCGGGAGAGAGAGTTGTCATTCATTCACTCGATTCAGCACACATTTTCTGCAAACCTATTTGGTTCAAGGCCGTGGGCCAGCCACTGAGAAGAACTGTAATGGCGAATGAGGCCCAGCTATTGGCCTCCAGAGGCTGCCATCCTTTGAAAGGAAGGCTGCAACAGAAGCAGCCTATGACGGGCTTTCAGAGAGAGCTGAGCTAGCCAAGGGAACAGCAGGCAGGCTTCGTGCGGGTGGCAAAGGGACACAAACAGGTCTGTGAAAGACACGGGGGGACAATAAGGCTACGTCCTAGAAATCCTGGGAGTATTTCAGAGCGGAAGGAACCATAGATCTAAATTTATTGACACGGGACTGTCCACATTATATCGTTAGATGCATACTTAACTCCCTCACAATAGAACAATCTCATTTTCATTAAAGATTACATAAGGGGCACCTGGGTGGCTCAGTCGTTAAGCGTCTGCCTTCGGCTCAGGTCATGATCCCAGGGTCCTGGGATCAAGCCCTGTGTCGGGCTCCTTGCTCGGCGGGAAGCCTGCTTCTCCCTCTCCCACTCCCCCTGCTTGTGTTCCCTC